CTAAGTCAGGAGGATCTCAAGTTCAAGACCAGCCTGGACTACTTAAGACTCTGTCTCAAAATTTAAAAAAGAAAGAAAAAGAAAAGAAATGGGGACCATGCTTGTATAATTTTATCAAAATGGATTCTACTGTTATGTATAACTAAAAAGAACCAATAAAACTTTTAAATAAAAAGAGAAGGGGGAAAAAAGGAATGGTAATACAGTGGTAATACACCCATGGATTCGGTTCCCAGTACTGGGGGAAAAATAGCCAGAAGTAAAGAAGCATCAGTTTGGCAACCTACTCCTTGATGGTTCAGGAAAAAGGGTTCTTTGTACTATACCTCCTTGCTGCATATAGTTGTTTCATAGTGAAATTTTTAAAAACTGCAAAATAACATTTCATACATTAGAATGAATGAATTTAAAATGATATATGAAGGAGAGGGCACGGAGCAACTGGAACTCTCATATGTGGCTAATGCAAATATGAAGTTATTCTGTCTGTATTATAAAGAGCCATATAATTATCCAAAGTTAAATGCCATCCTGTGACCCAGAAGCTCGACCTAGATTCTCTATGCCTAGAAGATCCTTTCTCCCCTATGCCTGGCAAAATCTTACCCTTTTCAAGATCTTAACTAAGTGACACCTACCCTGTGAAGCTCCCAATAATTTCTGTGCTCTAAAATAGTAGTAGTAAGAGTTTATAAAGCCTTTATATTTTACATGGCACCTTTGGAATCTGTGTTAGTCTTTGCATCCACTCTGAGTGGCCGATGTGAAAGTGGAAAAAGCAGGTCTCTCACCGTCAGGAGGTGAGAGTGAGAAAGCCTCAGTGAGCCACCTCACCAAGAGGGAAGGAGGCTGAGAGTTCAAGAGGCGGCCCAGGAACGCGCCTGCTGCGGACCGGGCTCCACGCTAGGCCCCTTCTCATTTCATCTTCGACACATCCCTTTGAGGAGGGTGGCGTTTTCTCAATTTTACAGATGAAGAAAACTCAGAGCGAGAGGATTGAAGCAAGGTCATGCAGCAGATAAATGGCAGGCTAGGACCAAGCCCTCTGTTGTCTCCAGGCCCTCTTCTAAATCTTGTCTTTCTCTGCCGATGGTTTAAGGATCCAGCCTCCAGATGTGGGGATCTGTGGAACTGCTGGAGGAACCTGATGACCAAGGCAGTCTGCAAGGGCAGCAGGTCATCTGCTGAGCACCGGGGCCAAGGAAAAGGCTGCCCACACCTCTCCCCTGCCAGTCTGTCAAAACTCCTCCTGACCTTCCGCTGGTGTGCCAGCCGAGGGATCTGCTGCGAGTGAGCCAGCGCTGGAAGAACCTGCTGAGTCACTTGTGCGGATCACTCAGTGCACCAGCTTCTCAGCTCTGAGTCATGAATGGATTTCATCACTTCTTTTCCTCTGATGGCCTGCACCTTGCCAGTGGCCATGTGTGCTGGACGAGTATTACTTCAGAAGAAATTTTCTTTATCAAACCACTGCTATTTCTCCTTCCACAGTAATGACAGCAGCTGCAACCACAGAACAGTAGCAGTAGTAGCTCGTACTGTGGCTGTTGGCTGTGCTAAGGAAGCATTTGCAAATAAACAAGGAATTCGACAGGAAAGATACCCTCACAGCCCCATTTTATAGATGGGAAAACAGGCTAGGAACTGTTAGGCCATTTGTCATTTAGTAACTGTAAAAAAAACCTGAAAATTCTGGTT